TTTCTTCCAATGCATAGGAAGTATTTGTGGAAAATTAGAAAATTAGCGTTATTGTTTTCTTTCAATATTTTGTATAATTCACTATTGACAGTCTCTGGGCATGGAGGTGTCTTTGAGAAAAAGCTTTTAATTGCATTTTCAATTTATTTAATGGCTATAAGATAGCTCAGATTTTTCTTTTGTATGAGTTTTAGGGAGTTGTATTTTTCCAAAAATTTTCCCATTTTACCAAAATTTTCAAATTTATCAGTATGCAGTTCTTTGTAACACCCTCTAACTGTATTTTAATGTCTCTGTAACTTGTATTTTAGTGACTCCTTTTGTTCCTGATACGCTTATGAGCCTTCCATATTTTTTTTCTGGGCCAGTCTCAGAGATTCATCAATTTTCTAGATTTTTCAGAGAAGTAAGTTTTAGTTTTGTTGATCCTCTGTGTTGTAATTCTGTTTTCTATTTCATTGATCTCTGTTCGTATCTCTCTTATTTCCCTCCCATTTTTGTCAAGTTTAATTTGCTCTTTTTCCAACTTCTTAAAATTAATTTCTAGCCTTTCCTCTTTTTTAAAAAAAGAATTATTATTATATTTTTTAGAGAAATTTTTGCTACAGGGTGCGTGCCATCACCAGAGAGGCAGAGAGAGACAGAAAGCAGAAGGGCTGACCATGCCACAACCCCTTCTCCATTCTCCTCTCAAGATCTTGGGCATGCACACACATGCGCCTGGTGTGAGCTTTAAGCTTCCGGGCCCAGGACTTGAATCACGGTAGACTGTGTGGGAGTCCAGCAACATAACCATTACGCCATCTGCTGGTCCCAATAATTATTTATTTAACTTTATTTATTATTACTAGTTTAATTTGCTATAGGGCACAAACACTCACTAGAGAGAGACAGAAAGAGAGAGAGAAAGTGAGAAAAACAAGCTGCCAGGTCCCAGACTCAAACTGTGGTCAGCCGTGTAGGAGTCCACATGTGGTGTCTTAACCACCATACAACCTGCTGGACCCTCAGTCTGTCCTTTTTAGATAATCTTTAATTTTTTAAAAAGAATTAATTTATTTATTATTTTTAAATTTTACTATAAGGTGCATGTGCTCACCAGAAAGAGGGAGAAAGATAGAGAAAAAATGAGAAAGCAAATGGTCAGGTGCTGGACTCAAAATTTGTGGTCAGCCATGTGGAAGCCCACTGCCTTAACCACTGCACCACCTGCTGGCCCAATAATATATAATTTTAAAGCTATAAATTTCTTTTTTTCTTCTTTTTTTGGAGAGTTTTTTTTTTTTCTATAGGGCACGTGCGCTCGCTAGAAAGACTGAGAGAGACAGAGAGACAGAAAGCAAGAAATCACCCCCTGGGGGGATGGCCATGCCGCAATCCCTTCTCCTCCATTCTCCTCTCGGGATCTTGGGCACGCACGCACACGTGCCCGGCATGAGTTTAAGCCACCAGGTCTAGGACTCGAACCACGGTCGGTTACATGGGAGTCCAGTGACATAGCCATTACGCTAACTGCTGGTCCCAAAGCTATAAATTTGTCTCAGCAGAATCACACAGGATTTCAGATGTAATAGTTTCATTATTAATCAATCTAAAATATTTTCTACTTGCCATTGTGAATTTATCTTTGATCCCTAGATTTTTCTTCCTCTGCAAAGCAGGGTGCTTAAACTTTTGTGGGCATAAAAATAACCACCTGAGGGTGATGGTTTCATGAGTATATACATATCAAACTTACTAGATTGCATTATTAAAAAGTGCAGTGTTTGTGTGGCAATTATAGTTTAATTAAGATGCTTCTAATTTTTAAAATTACTATTCTTTTTTTTGGTTTGCTATAGGGCATGTGTGCTTACCTGAGAGATAGACAGGAAGAGAAAGTGAGAAAACACCCCTGGGGGGAAGGAGATGAACACACTGCAGTCCTTTCTCCTCTACTCTCCACCTGGGATTTTGGGCACACATGCACATGTGCCTGGCATGTTTTTCAAGCTGCCAGGTCCCATACTCGAACTGCAGAGTCAACCATGTGGGATCTGGTTCCCTCAACCAGCATGCCACTTGGCTGGTCCAGTTTAATAAAGATGTTTTTTGAAAGAGGAGGGAGAGAGCCGGCAGGTGGCATGGTGGCTAAGGTTGCTGGACTCCCATGTGGCTGACTGAGGTTTGAGTCCCTGACCTGGCAGCTTGCTTTCTAACTTTTTCTCTCTCTCTTTCTCTCTCTCCCTCCCTCCCTCCCTCTCTGGTCAAATTAAAATGAATGAAATAATTAATGAATTTTTTAAAAAGGAAGTTCTTTATTTTTTATTTTGTTTTATTTATTTATTTATTTTGGAGCGGTTTTTGCTATAGGGCACATGCGCTCGACAGAAAAGAGAGAGACAGAGGGACAGAAAGTGAGAAATCACCCTCCGGGGGCATGGCCACTCCTAAATCCCCTCTCTCTTCCATTCTCCTCTCAGGATCTTGGGCACACACACATATGCATCCAGTGTGAGTTTAAGCCACTGGGTCCGGGACTTGAACCACAATTGACTACATGGGAGTCCAGTGACATAGCCATTATGCCAACTGCTGGTTCCAAAAAAGGAAGTTCTAAATTAATTAATTAATTAATTAAAAGGGGATGGGGAACAACCTGAGGGCCTTGTCAAAATACAGGTTTGGCACAATGAGATACCACCTAACCCCTGTCAGAATGGCAGAGATTAAGAATATAAAAAGTGATAAGGATTGGTGGGGATGTAGTGAGAAGGGAACCCTCTTACACTATTGGTGGGAATGTAAACTAGTTCAACCACTGTGGAGAACAATATGGAGGTTCCTCAAAGATCTACAAATAGAACTACCATTTGATCCAGCAATCCCACTTCTGGGTATTTACCCAAAAGACAGGAGAACGCTCAGTCAGAAAAGTGCTTGCACATCCATGTTTATTGCAGCATTATTCACAATTGCCAAGACATGGAACCAACCTAAATGTCCACAAACTGATGAATGGATTGGAAAAGTGTGGTATATATACTCTATGGAATACTACTCAGCCATAAAAAATAACAAGACCCTGGAATTTGATAGAAAATGGTCAGATATGGAGGATCTATTGCTGAGTGAAGTAAGCCAGGCTATGAAAGAAAGATATTGTATGTATCCACTCAATATATACCGACTATCCGCACTCTATAATAGAGAGCAAAAATTCGGAGGACATAAACACAGTGAAGGTACTTAATGAGAATAGGACAGTGTGGAATGGGGTAAGTGAAGAGAAGAGGATAGAGAAAGATAGCAAGTGAACAATAGAGAGACAGGACGTTAGTGAGAAACAGATAGGGGTTATTAACTGTTGATGATGACATGTATAGTATTCTCAACTGGATTGGTCTGAGAAGTATTTCATGATGGGCAAAGTATTTTTACAAGCAAAACGAGAAATAACAATTGACTGTTTTATAAAAATAATTAGAATAATAAAAATAATGATTGGGGAAAACAGAAAAGATATGGAATGGTGAAGTGGGGAGATTAATGTCTCTGTACTGACTGACATGCATGGCATTCCCTTTTGAAAAAACAATGTAATACACTGTAAAGTTATATGTAATCTAATGTAATATAAAGAAGATTATGATGATAATAAAAAAGAAATACAGGTTTGGGAGACCCACTACAAACCTACCAGCTATCTTGAGGGAATGTTCAAAACTGGGCAGCTCACCTCCCCTGGCCCCCACCAATCCATCTCCAAGCCTTACTGGGAAAATGCCCATAGAACCTTATTCTAAATAAGAACTCTAAGCATCCCTCCCATTCCCAAGCTTTTGAGAAAATTCCACTGGACCTTCCTCTGGACCCAGACCCCAGACCCCAGACTCCTACTCTGCACTTGCAACCCATGTAAATCCCTCTCTTAGGAGCCTCTTGGTCATCTCTCCCCACCTCCACGCCTGCCTCTCTCAAGCATTCTCAAGAGGCCTTTCAGTTGGGAGTG